GGAGAAGGGGGTGGCAAAGGATGAGATGGTTAAATAGCATCACTGACTCAATGGACATGAATTTGAGCAAATTCTGGGAGCTAGTGAAGGACAGGGAAGCCTGGCATGCTGCAGTCCATGGGGTCACAAATACTTAGTGACTGAACAACAAGTACATAAGTAAGACCAGTAATTGCAAAAACTGCAGCCCTCAATCTACAATTTTGTAAGTTATAGAGACAAAAATTTAAAATACAAAAATACTCAAGAATATATACCTTTACAAAAAAATGATTTTAAAAAAATTTAAAGGTGGGTTCTTGTTAAAATAATTGAAATGAAATATAATTTAATAATTTTCATAGTCATAAAGTTCATTTTTCTTACCTGAATATAACAAGTTGGGGGGGGGGGGTATTCAGGATTTAATAGGCTAATTCTCTCCCTATAAAAGGCATTATACCCGAGGGTTTTTTCTTCTTCAGCTTCTCTGTATGTGGTATGATTCTATCAGTCTGTCTGTGTACTGCTCCCTACACAGACATTTTTATCATTAAAAAAAAATGCATTTAATATGAAAATCTCTGAAGCTACCACCACAAACCTTTGCAGAGTTTCTTTAAGATCAATACAAACTGGAATTCTTTTTTGTTTGCTTACTCTGGAGAAACTCTGTGTCAGAGGAAAAACAAACGAAAGAGCATTAATAGTTCAAAAATAGCAGCACACAAAAATGATCTGAACATACTGAAGGAGAACATTTTCATTATAAAAGGTTCATGGTGCTGCATTAACTTCACTTTGGAAGAACGCCACTGGAAACGCAGATCCCACAAGGAGGGAATGCAGTAGTTATAGCTTAAGTCAAACAGCTAATTAATGACTAAACAAAAGAAATTTCAGTCTGGACAACATATATGGAGTACTAATATGTGTAATTATGAAGTAGTCGTTTGAGCAATCAGAAAGTTGCATTAGCATAATTATTTCTGGCTCTGGGCCTTAAAAATATCAATATTAACTTAAAATGCAGAAATCTCGTAATAGTTCACCTAATTATGTGAATACCAAAGTGATCATGAAATAAGAGCTGGTTCTCTAACCAATGTGCTCTGTGTTGAATACACTTTTTCCTGCCCAGGATAAAAAAATCAAGCCTATCAACCTGCCAGTTACACACAGGTACAGAATTTCTGTTTTTAATGTACTTTCTTCCTGACCTAGAGCCCACACATTAATATTCATTACTAAGAGTCAAAACTCCTTCTCTAACACAATCTACTACTTTTTCAAAAAAATTCTCAGACAAAAATACGTTGTTTATGCACAATACTAGAAAATGAAAAACGAAGCAAATGAATGAAACAAAATGATAAGAAGTCACTAAACTGGGCAAGACCTTGGGGAAGTCGTATCTGAAACTGTTCTTGGAACAGAAATGCAAAAGTATGGGCTCCGAGATCAGGGGATGGGCTTGGACTCCCAAGGCCACCATTTTCAGGTGCTTTATTTAACAACTCTGTGGTTCAAGTCTCCTCACATATATACCATGTAAGAATACTCACAAAACCTACCTCACAGGACTAGGTCAAGGAGTAAACGTGAAGATTCACAGAAAGAACTCAACAGTGCCTAGCATGCAGCAGACGTTCAATAAATGGTAGCTGCCGTAATTATCATCATCATTATCATCTCCTGGGAAAAGAGTGTTTATGGCTGAGAAAGCATAAGCTAAAATTGACTTGTTTTTAGATTTATTTTGCAATTGCAAACAATATTTAAGAAGGGCAGGAGAGTTCACCTATCCCAATGAGTTAGAAAAGGTTAAAAGTGCTGAAGCAGGCCCTACAATCTCTTTTATTGCTAAGTCTTCCTTGTCAGTGACTTTCAGCTTTACCAAATTTGCATGTGAATCCACAATACTAATTTTACATTAACTCTTTTTAACCCAAAACTAAATTACACAATTGATCTGCCAAGTACCCTAATGTGGTTAAGGGTTATGGGTCTTTGATTAAAACCCTGAAAGACACACCACAGAATGAATGTTTCTGTGAATTAATCAACAACGTAGAAGAAATGAAGCTCAGAAAGAGACAGGCCCTGTCAAGTGTGCTATCTTGACGAAGTTATTTCACCCTTTTTACCAACAGTCCTTCATCTGTAAAAGGAAACATGCTGTGTGTGAACAGGCACAATCTTGCTCTCCCTCTCTCAAGAGATGTACACACACCAGTCATAAGGTGGGTTTTCTCCAGTAACCAACCACAAGTGTGACCACACAGGTATGACGAAGGGCGCTTCTAAAAAGTACAGAGGAGTCAGATTCTACCCGGGAATTCAATTGTGCACACCCAGCAGAGAGAGAACAACACGGGTGACAGAGAAAGACAACAGCTGACATCTCATCCAAGCAACCCTGGCCGCCAGTCTCCTTGGCGAGCAGATGCTGTTCAGAGAGTGAGATGGAAAACACGCGTCGGCTGTGCTCACAACTGTGCTCGTGCAACATGCCCCTCTATGCGAGCGCCTGGTCCTGGCAAGTGGAAGCAACAAGAACGTCACGTGTGTACAACACAGCTCCTAAATACCAGCCGACTCCCTCACGTGTCCTCCACTGAGACACGGTCGTCCCTTCCAACCACAGAGGGACTCCACGCCCTGAGCCACTGGAGAGATTCCACAGGTCCTTAAGGCTGCCTGACCGTGAATCCACCTTACCCAGGAATCTGTCCCCTTCAGGGCTGAGTGGTGGGTGACATTAAGGACAGTAGGCTGAAGGACAAACGAATTGTTTTGTTTCTATTACCCCAGCCAGTAAAAAAACAAAAAAGGCAGGTAACCATCACCACATAACACCCTACAGAATTAACAACTGCTGTCACTCTAAGATGCCTCTATTTTTCCGGAAGCCAAAACTCAACAGAAAATAAAGCCAAAGTCCTCTACCCAGAAATATGGTCCAACCTTTGAATTCAGTTATCTCGCAGGATTTTTCATCAGGGTTGAGCTGATCGATCACTGAAGGCACCTCGGATCACAGGGGAAGAGGGCAGTGCCTTGGCCCCCACCAGCCGAGGCCCACCCCCCACACACCCAACCCCATGTTTTCAGCAGCAGTGACCACGCCTGCAAACAGCCCACAGCTCTCAGATCCCAGTCTCACACTGCACGGGTCAGAGGGGAACACACTCCAGTCACACTGGGACCTAACCATGGTCTCCGAGGACCTACGTGAGCTGAGGTTCTAGAAGAAAATGCAGAGCAACTTCTGATCTGCCTTTTAATCTGGTCCTCTCTAAAAATTCCTTATTGGGTATTTTATAATGTATCTAAAATAATCGCAAGGTGGAACAAATCAATAATTTAGAGGTAAACAAATATATGAAAGTTGAAGGCTGTGTTCAAAAGCTCCAAAAGTGTTTTGAAACCACTGATCTAAATAATCTACCAACTAAATTTCTGACACTATTACCTCCAGCTTTATAACTCTTAAAATCACTAATTTTAATTCACTAAGCAATTACTGGTTTCAACTATAATTTCAAGTCAAAGTTAAATTGCCGATTACATTAAAAATGTAATATTGAAAAATTATATGCTTTGTTACATTCATAAATAAACCAAAACTGATGTATAATAACATAGCATCAAATCCTCTTTCAGGGATTACTAAGGAACATACTGAGTTTTTTAATATTTCATGACCTAGTTTTGACTTAGTGAACGGCTCCCAAATTGTATTATTTTGCTGACAGAGTAACGATCTATGATTAATTTTCAGCACATTTACTTTGTTTTCATGTCTAAAATGTCTGAAACAATTAATAGATGACTGAGTAAAACAACAAGCCTCTAAACCAGCTGTTAGTCAAAGGTATCTCGTCTAAGGGGGGAAATATAGTTTATGCAAATAATCAATACATACATACCTTTAAAGTAGTTTAAAATCAGTTGAGACAAAACTATGAGGTTCTAGTGAATATTTAAATATATAAACTAGGATAAGTGAAGAGACTTTCACATAACCTCTTGTAACAAAACAAAAGCATTCTAGATCAGGAATTTGAGCAGAACAATTTTTTAAAAATAAAGGTAAATAGGCCACACTATCTTCTTCTTGTATTTTAATAAAACGGAGCACCCAATACAGGGTAGGGTTTTGTATTTATAACTTGGAAGTAAATGCTGAACCAGCAATATGAACTGATTTAGACCAACTTTGCAAAACCAATGACCCCAGCCATGTGAACTAAAGAAACAGAATTCACAGCCTGATGGACACAGACTCAAGTCTCATCACCACATGAAATGGGTATCACCCTAAACTGAAACAGATTTCAAAATAAAAAAGATGACAAAAAAATCCACCTTTAATATTAAGACTTCCAGATCAAGATTTGCCAAAAAAAAAAAAAAACCCTCATCCAAGAAGATAAGACTCTGACTCACTCTACTTCATCAACCTTCTAACTGGATATCAAATAAACAACCTACTACATACCTTCATTATTCATACAAATGCCTTTCGTTAAGGTAAACCAGTTAATTCTCCATGCAAACTTTCTTCATCAGAGCGGACCAGAGCCATTTTGTTAATAAGAAGCCTGCCCTTCTCAATTCTACAGAAACTTCACATTGTCAAGACACTGCATGGTCTATGGAACACTGGGGCTGTTCCTCTATTCATGATAAGAACTAAGCTTTAATTGAGATGCAGGTAAGAGTCAACCACCAAATGCAAGACACCATAATGCAAGAAAACACAAAGACAGAAACTCATGCTATCTTAGTAAGTCAGCGTGCACATTTGAGATTTTTCAATGCAGGCCAGGCAGATCAGAGATTGTTCAAAACAACATGTTGGTCTCTGTCAAATCCAGATTCAGTATTCTTCTCATTCACAATTTCCTAGTTAAGTATTTTGAATTCAAAGCTAACATATAGTAGTACTGCGCAAGATGACCTAGCAAGTTTGCCCTTAAAAAAATTAATACCCCTAGAAATAGAAATTTATCTACCTCATTAGTGTTCCATCGGTGCCTCTCTTTGGGTAAACTTGAACATTTCGGCAGACATTCAAGCAGCTTTTTCGGTAAAAAGATTTTTACATGACTACTATTGCTGTTCCCATGATCATCTATAAAGAAGAAAACAGTAAATTCAGAGAAGATAATAGAGAAAAGCTCCTTTTAAGTACACTGGCAAGGTCAGAAACAGCAGCTCAGTTTAGTCACTGGGAGACCAAGAGCATCACCCCTTAGTTAACAGAACTCACTGACACACTTTTCAGGTAGATGGCAGCAGGACTGGTCAAGAGGCTCTACAACAGGATGGAGTTCTTGGCTCCATGGCAAGCAAGTGAACAGGGAATAGCCCAAAGGCTGCCCAGAACCTGAGCATTGCTTTTAAAGGTGCTTTCACGAGGTTCCATGAAGTACATCAAAATCACAAAATGACTTAACCTCACAAAACCTGGGAATCTACTGTTAACCAGGTGGAAAAAGTTGTTACATTTTTTAGGAAAGAGGACTTAAAATATAACTACTTACTTTCTTGATAAACTAATACTACTACTTCATCTTCTATAATACAAATGAGACTTCTCCTTTCCAAAGAAAAGTACAAATCTGATAAATCTAAGGAATTTCAACCTGCAGGTAGCTACCTCAGTAATACAGAGGCTGGACTTTCTAGCCTAAATCTAAAAGCACATTTTAATTAATTTGAGTTATATATACACATATCTATATAATTAATACATTTCATCAAAACTTAAGTCTTCTAAATTAATGAGGGACAAGTTCAAGACTCTCAGACTAGATGGTATGTCTGACTACCTTTCCTTTATGTGTTATTTCATTCACTTATTTCTCTGAGTATCATTTCTTGTTTTATTCCTGTAACAAAGTCCCTTTGCATGGCTGCAAATTTCTTACCAGGTTTGACACATTTGGGTCAAAGTTTCAAATTACCCACTCGAATTTTTTTTTTAATGCCAAATGGAAGCTCAAATATCTAAAGGGTACAAGGCATAACTGGGTACTAAGGAGCAACACATTAAAATACTGAAGACTGACTTAGCTCCAGAAAGTCACATTTGACGTAACTCACTCTGATATTAGGTGAAAAAGGGCTCCCAGTCAGGAGCCCAGGACTCTGGCCCAGTTCTGCTGCTTTCTACTTGTGTGACCTTGGGTAAGTTACTTAATATTTTCCGTTTTCCCAAATCAAGGAAAATGAGATAATCTCTAATTCTCCTCCAGGCACAGATCCCTACAGAATTTACTGTCACGTTCAGTAACTTTAAATGCCTTAGAGTTAAACAACCTTATATAAGCACAGAGGTTTATCAGTTAAGAATACTGAAAGTGAAATACAGTAAGTAATATATTTTTCCAATCATTTACTACAATTTTGTTTAGCACAGACTACTTTTTGAACATGTGAAAAACATAAAAGAATAAAAAATAATTTTACAGTCCTAATAAAATCTTCTCCAAACATTTTTCATCTGATTAACACATTCCTTCTCAAGGAAAACATCTTAACAGGAAAATATTGGGCATAGTCATAAAGTCTAAAAAAATTTACTGCATCATATGGAGATATTTTATAGGAAGGAACTTAAGAATTTTAGCGTACTAAATCTTTTTTGGTCCATGAACTACACAACCAACTGAATTATAATGCATATCCTCTATTTCTAAAAGCAGTATAAAAAATCTGAAAAACTTAAAAACTGACTGCTTTGAAGAATCCAAATTTTAATTTAACAGCAAAATAAAATTAAAACTTTTTAAAAAAAAAAATCTTGCTATGAAACTAAAAAAGAAAGCGTTTAAAAGTTCATAGAAAGTTCCGTATGAATTACGCACTATAAAACCTTTGCAATTTTATGTGCTTATGCATGCTCCCTGCACTTCATCCTCCCAAGGGAGGTGCCATGGGCCATAAAACTTGAAAGCACAGAATTTCAAATCACATGAGCCTTCACCTCCCTTCTCTCTTCCCCTAAAGTGGTTTTACTCTGCTTTTTAAAAATCTCCCATGATGTGTACAATCCTGAAAATAGAGGTGATATTCTAACATCTATACTCAATTCTGATATTTACCAATTACAGGGTAACCTTTTATGAAAACGGTTCTATGCTACTGTAGGCTTACTTTGAATTGTATATGACGAGCCATAGCTCTGAAAAAACTGTTCAAGTGTAATTCTGACAATGAACAGAACATTAAACCCAAGCTTCTAGTTCTATGTTTGTGATCATAACCTGATGTTAATTATCTGTCCTTTTAGTCTCCTTGAAGAACCCACTGTCCTGGGGCACAGAAAGCATGAGAGAGAGAGAGAGAGAGAGAGAGTGTGTGTGTGTGTGAGTGTGTGTGTAGGCAGAGACAGAGGAAGCACTCTTTTCAACAGCACACCTAACTGCTACAGAAAAGGCTTCCATCTTCTACTCTGATACAAAATCAGGCAGTGGTGAATGGGTCCACAGGCTTTTAAAGAGGAAAAGGAGAGTGGCTGGGTAAGTACTGTCTCAGTCGAGATTCTAAATTTAGTACTTTATGGAGCTGTGCAGCCATGGGTTCAAAGGGAAGAGAAGTATGACAGGCCAATGGGTTCCCCTTAATCAGTTTTTAAACTGTGCTATTTCCAGAATTTCAGGTTCACGCTAAATATAAATTAGATGTCTTTAAGAAACATAACGATGGGTATATTTTCCCACAGTGCATTATGAAGATGGCAATTTTAATACTAGAAAAAGAATATCAACAACTCCAACAGCCAAAACATTAAAACTCATGTTTTCAGTCTCTCTAGTTAAAGTGGGATAAAGAGTAACTCTGCTTTCACATCAGAAAAGAACTGCTCACATGGCTATATTGTGTTTTTTAATTAAATGTTGCTTTCTAATGTTTTTGGAGTAACTATAATTGATATAATAATTAGACAAAACATGTACCAGATATTAAATTCTTGTCTCAGTTCAAGGATTCCAACAGATCTTGAGTTAACACTGAAAATAAGCTATACAGTGGTTTCAACTGCATCCCAGTATTTAAACCCAAAGAGTAAAACTCTGACACTGCAAAATGGAAGTGTCAACCAAATACAGTAGAACATTTCATTATCATTATCTTGCAAAATCTGCGTGTGTGATATATGACTTTACAAAATCATTTTCTAACCTACTTCACAATAAAAATAACCAGCGAAGCTCCTGAAATTGACAGATGATTTGTTTGGCTGACAGCTATAATTCTAGAGAATGAACCACTCTTTCCAGTCAACCTTCAAATATTTTCCATATAATAATTTTAGAGGCATAGTATAACTCAACTAGAACTTTCTAAAATGTTCAAGAAAATTCATTCACTTAGTTAATTAGGCAAAACTTATTTTCATGGTTTATTTCTAAATTTGAGATTTCACATTACCAAATTCTTCAAATACAAAGAAATGTATTTGACCTTTTCCTTGGAACACATTGTTGACAGCTGCAAGGTTTAAGTCATAACTGTATTAACTCTAACCTGGAAATGATGCATCCATTTTATTTTGATTCATAATTAATAAAATTAAATAATTTTGGTTTTGTGAATAATTATAAACTGTTATTCAATCAAGTTGATGATGATTAACCTCTCAACCTCTAGAACAAACTGTTCAAAATAAGTTGGTCTAACGGTGTATCAAATTGCTAAATCTTACTGGAAATATATTTGATCAACAACTTGGAGTGGTAAAATTAAATGGAAGCTCTACAATTTTCAGTTTAGCTCTAATTATTATGTGCTTAGATTTAATTAGTAGGATAGGAACTGATTCAGGAAAACATAAGCGCGTATTGTTAAATTGAAGTCAGCACAGAGCTCACAGCAGCAAACACTGCCATTACTGACCTAAGACCTGCAAATCACTATTCATCCAAAGTAAATATTAATTAAGCACCAACTATGTGCCAAGCATGGGTATGATTTCCTCTTATTCCTTCCAGAGAAATTCTCCAAAATGAATTAAAACTCAGTTGTCATTATCCAAAGGATGCTTTTTTAAAGGCTAAAAAAAAAATTTTTTTTAACAGAAATATGTAACTCATTTTGCTATTTCACAACCCCTTTCCTCTTCTTAGAGTGGGTGTGATCATCTGATTTTACCCTTTCCGTTTTCAGGTGGCCGATACCCTCTCCCTGCCAATCACACTACCAAACCTCTGACCTGGGGTCAGGTCAGCTCAGACTCAGGTTTAGTAAACTCCTCTATCTGAATTTACATTTTCAACCTAAAAACATGTAGGCAGAGGCGGATAAAGTAGGGGAGGTCCAGTAGCCTTGAGACCAACTGCCATCAATTTGGGTTTGGGGCATCCTCTCCTGCTTCATTCCATTCAATTTCCATTTGAGCCGCACGTGATCAAGTACATTTATTTTCTACTGTTTATGAGGGAGCAGACATTTGTGAGACTCTATATCAGGCACCCAGAAAGGATTTTACATTAGACTCTCTCGATGAATCCTCGCAATAACCCACCTGGGCATAATTACCCCCATTTTACAGATGAAGAACCTGAGGTTCAGATTAATTTGCCCAAGATCTACAGCTAGTAAGTGGCTCACATGGGATTCGGACATGACCTCTGGTTTTTCTGCGATACCACAGGCTCCAACTCTATGGAATTTGACACTAGAATTCCCAAATTGTGGTATTTTAGGATAGCTAACATTTGCAGAATGCTCTGAGTTTCCCACATGATTAAACTCTCTTCCTTTTTTAATCCTCACAGAAACTTTACGAGGGGAGTTTTGTTTTGCTACCCTCAGAAGGATTAAGTAACTCATCGAAGATCACACAGCAAGTTTAAGGCAGAACCCAGGTCTTCTCGCTGCTGACCCCAGGCCTTCCTGCACTACAGTGATGGAGCCACTCTCGCTGCCACGCCCACCCCTTCCTGTAAGTCAAAAGCTTTCGAATCCTACCTTCTAGAGGTGGCACGGTGTTGAGAACACAGTAGGTGCTAGTTCCGCAGAATACACTTTGGGAAACGCTCTAAGGAAACAGAAAATAAAATGTAAAACTAATCTTTGAAAAAGATAAACACTGGCTCTTCTGTGATATTCCTGCCAAGTATGCAAAACCTGAATCTAATCATGAGGAAATATCGGACAAATCCAAATTGAGGAGCATTCCACAGAATGACTGTCCTGGAAACTAAGAGTGGCAAGGTCATGAAAGTCCAAGAGGACTGAGAGCCCTTCTGGACTCAAGGAGGCTGGGGAGACCACGAAGTGCAACCCAGGGTCCCACCGGGCCTCTCTCTACCAGGTCAGCGCTGGGCCAACCAGCACCACAGGCAGAGCTCAGAGGATTCGACGGTACAGACGCCTGGATGTTCATTCCTGATTTAGATTCCTGTATTGTGGTGATGGAAGAGAATGTTCTCGCTTGTAGGAAACACATAATAAAAGATCTGATGCTGACAGAACATACCAGCAGCTTACTCTCACACAGTTCAAGAGGGAAAAGGTGTCTTTTGCGCACTATATCTGTGATTTTTCTGTCAGCTTAAGAGTGTTTCAAAATACAAAATACATGTATGTGGAAAAAGACACATACTGGTGAACCTATGTTACCTGCATAGTCTTTTAAGAGGGAGCAAACACATGTGCTATAAGTAAGGAAATTGTTGCGAAGAACCAATGCCATTTCATTCTGCAGCTCAGTCGACATTCAACGACATTACCACCACTTCCCAACAGTAAGGCCCAAACCCAAACCATTCGAAAGGATGGATCTATGCGTGCCCACCAGCAGCACGGCGGGGGGATGAGTCAGGAAGAGGCTGGAGGACCAGGTCTCTGCCCTCAGGCTGCCGCAGGTAGATAAAATTAAAGCTTTCAAATAAAAACCTAGCCCATGGTAACTTAAAAAAAGGGGTGGGGGATTTCTTTCAGTCTCGCCAGCCAATTATTTGGGGTCCTTTTTTGTTCAGCTGCAGTATTAAATAAATTTCTAGACTATTCCTCCAGCACTATAAACCACAGATTTATATACCTAGAAAACCAAAGCTAGTTCAACAATCACCCTCAACATTTTATGTTTAAAATAGAAAAAGCTCAGTTCTCTCACTTACTAGCTGTCCCTAGGAAAGTAATTTAACCTCTATGTTACTTCATCAAAAAAAAAAAAGTACAGACGATAACTCTATCCCCCAATTGAGGGTCGCTGGGGATGTGCATATGGTAATGCTTTAGATTCAAAAGTACCACTCAAATAGAAAACGCCATTGTTACTATGGTTCGTAAGTATAATCCACAAAAATGCAAGCATTTTCTGAGAATAAACTCATAACTGCCTGGATTTTCTGTGCCACAATGAGGGTTGAAATCTGACTAAACTTACGTCTGTGAATTTCCAATTTTCCTCCCCATCGACGGTGAGCAAGTGCTTCACCACAGAACAAGTCTTTCTCCACACTGTAACCCCTAGCTATCAGGATAACCATCAGTTCCCAATTATTTATTTGTTTCTGGAAAATTCTTGTTCCAGGACTTTTACTGTCTTCCTTCTGTCTGATTTAATCAATAGTGATAACTACTGATCAGCAATCCAGGCCTGAGTATTGCTGTCCCTGTGAACCATGGACTAACTTCATAATTCACATTCCTTTGAAAAATTCAACATTAGTCTCTCCCCCGACCCCCCGGTGTGGAATTCTAGGCTTCCGGCAACATCCGTGGGCATCACCAGCAGCAGCCTTCTCATCACAGTAACGCAGCATCTCATCTTAATGCGGTTTCCAAATGGAAGCTGGAAATTTTACCGCGTTAAAAAAAAATGTTTTACATTCAAGGCTTAACGTTTTCTGGCTTTCTATTATCAAGGGGAAAAAAAGACAGCTCAGGTTTACCACCAATCATGACATCTCACAAAAGTTTTCAAAACCACTAATGGACAGAGGAACACATTAATGAATAGCTTCATAAGAAGAACTTTTACACCTGACTTCAGAGTCTGATGACAGGTAAACGTGTGGTAAGATATACTGAATAACAAATTGAAAGAAATGAACACTAAAAACAACAAACAACATACGGAACAGAAATATCAAGAGCAACCAACCATGATTTCTCAACAGTGCTACCACAACAAACGAAGTCTTAATAGTTAATTTGACCAGAAAAGAAACTTACTCAACCTGAGAGTGAAACTGAATGTCATCCTAACCTCAGAAACACAATGTTCTCAAGGCAAAACAAGCTAACTCACAGAAGCAATGGCTGCCTTGCAGTAAGCACCCAAGGGCCAGATTTGAGCTAGGTCCTGTCACGGGACCCCTGAGGTCTATTTCTAGACCTGGCTCTGGAAGGGAGGGAGGAGGGTCTGTGGGTCTGTAGTTCTGAGCCCAGGACCACCACCCCCCCAGACGGGCCTGGGGGAGACAGTCAAGCGCTCCGTGCACAGGACAAAGTGGGTGGGGAAACAACGCCAGCCCTGGGCTCCCGTCTCCGTGCTGCCCTGGTGCTGCCCCCGCAGGCTGGCTCTGAAGTCTGACTCAGTCACGCACACACCTCTGCCCCCTGCTCCGGGGGAGCCTCTCCCACCCCAACCTCTGACACAGGTGAGCGGCCAGACTGGTGCCACCTGAACAAGCTGTGCTTCTCTCCAGATGCACCCCTCTTTATCTCCTTCCAGGAGCCCCACACCTACTAAGGGAGCACCTCACATGCACCAGACACCGTCCTGGGAGCTGGGACCCAGCAGTGAACAAGAGGAATCAAGGTCTGTCCCATGGAGTATCCGCCAGTGGGAGAGGCAGGTAGAGAGTGGGATAAGAACTGTGAAGGAATAAAATGGGGTGATGCACCACGACGAGGAACCGGGTATGGGAAAGCTCTGCTCTGAAAGCATATCCACGTGTGGGTCGAGGGAACTACCCGATTAGAGCATCAGGAAACCCTGACTTGCGCACTTACTAGACTGAGTGGCTCTCAGCGTGGCTGCAATTCAGTCATGGAGAAAGATTTTTAAAGTTCTGGTGCCCAGGCTGCAATTCTGACCATGTAATGCACAGGGACGGAACCCAGGCAGCAGTAATTTTTAAAGGTTTAAAAGTGATCCCAAGATGCATCCAGGGATGGGAACCACTAAGATCAACAGCTGTGTGAGTTTTCTCCAGAGAGAAGTGGGAGGGTGACCTTGAGCAGGGCATCTCCACTGCAATGCACATGTGGGTCATCTGAGGATCTCTCAGGTTCTGACTCACGGGTCTGAGTGTGCCTGAGACTGTGCCTCTAGGAAGGCCCCATGACTCATGGCCACACCTGGGCTATCAGGAACTAGATGATCATAAAGATCAGGAAATAATCTAATAAAGATCCTTCCAGTCCCAACACTTCAGATGACACAATCCCATGAATTCTTAATGGCCTGCAAAAGGACTCTCGTCTGTGGACACAAACTCTAATACAAAACTGTATCAGGAAAGCCAAGCACCAGAAGCAAAGCAAACTAAGGGATGGTCACTCAGGTGAGTTCAGGGTCCAGAGTCTGACAGAAGCACCCAAGAGAGGGCAGAGGAGCTCCTGAAAACACACTCCCTGCCTTCAAAAAGTACATTTAATTGGAGACAATGGTAAAAAGAAAAAAAAGTAATGAAATAATACATGATTTATTAAAGGCTGAAGTTAGTCGATAACTGTGGAAAACCAGTAACTATCTGTGTTTCCAGCACAAACTCTTCAGGGGCATGGAATATGCGTTATCATTTTTGTCTCCCTTCAGAGAGCCTAGGTCAGTGTGTTACACATAGCTACGTTTATTTTATATATTTACATATATATATATATACACACACACACACACACACACACTATATATATGGTTCTGGATGATGGAATAAATGAAACAAAATGCTATATAACAAGAAATGATAAGTGGCTTTTGGACAGAGAAGCGGCATGATGAAAACTGTATTTACAGTTCTTTGAAATAAGCACTGGCAATGTTTAAGACTCTACAGAGTCCCTTTAAAGTCAACTGAGGACCCACAGAAAGGCCACACTGAATGCAATAAACCAGTTCTATCAATTAAAAGTGACACGTCAAGAAGATTTTTGCCATGGAGTTTTAAACTGATTCTTGAAATTCACCGATCATTACATATGACGTGACATATAAATAATCAAAATGAAGGCAGAGTCCAAAATTCTCAGCACCTTTACTAGACTCACCAGTTTTGCCTAGCATTGTTAGGCAGGCTAACTCTTAGAACGAACTTTATCATGGCTCAAATACCATAAATATTTACTTCTTGCTCATGTAGAGTCCACAACAGTAGGTCAGAAGGCAGCTCTCCCCCCAGCCATGGCTCTGGCCCCAGATCTCCTTCCATCCTAGGCACGAGCCTTCCTAGCTCACTGGGCTCTTCTGCAGCAGCCAGCAGAGAGGAAAGGGCACGGAAATCCTGCGGAGGGAGGGCCCTGGGGCCAGGCCTGGAAGTGGCTCGCTTCTTGGCTCTCATGCCATTGGCTAGAATACGGCCACTAAGCCACGCCTGACTGTAAGGGAGGCTGGGAGAAGAGGTCTGGCTACCTGCCCAGGAAGAGGAGTGATCAGCTCGCAGACTCTGCCACAATGCCATTTGTAATTATTTTTTTTAATTACAAAAGAGTCAGTCCTCTCAAAAATGCATTCTGAACCTATAACCTCCACCTTTAATCCCTAAAACCATTCAGCATCTAAACCCAATCTAGTAGTTTTTCTATCCTGATAAATATTTTTCTATCATATTCAAAATAAGACTATATCTAGGGCGTCCTTGAAGGGATGTCTGGCTTTTCCAGTACTTAATGTCTGGCACATAATAGAAGCTCAAATATTTGTTGAATTCATGGATGAACAACATTCCCAGAAGTTCATAGAAAGGAAAAAGAGTGATCCCGTCTCTTGCCCTGGTGATTGTAGGGTTCACTGAATAAAGACCATCAGTCTTTTCAAGAATCTCAGTCTCCCTCTTCGAAGGCCACCCTAGGTTGCCACCCATCCTC